GAAAAGTCATACAATGCTCAGGATGCATAGCTTATCATAAAGGCTAATAGTTTAATAGCTCAGATTATAATCAAAATAATCTGGATAACTGAGTATAAAAACTTAAAAAAAAATGTTTTGAGAATTATTTAATAAATTATAATATATCGTAATGAATGATTTTGCTATTATATTTACTATTCAAATTTATATTATCTTCTAATAAAATTTTTATAACTTCTAAAACTAACTTTAACATATTTGAAATTTATATTTTGTTTTTATAAATAATTTTATATTTTTGCATAAATAATATACTTAGTTAAAATTTACCTTTATTGTATTTTCATTATCTTATTTTTTTTTTAATGTATTCAATATATATCGATTATTTTTACATTACAAAAATTACCTTTTTCTACCATTTTAATCTAATGTATAAATATATCTTTAAGCCTTTTTATCTAACTTTTATCATTTGCCATTGAGCATTTTTATTTAAACTAGGATTTGATTTTCATTACAGGTGACTATGTTATGACAGGTAAAATTTTAGATAGATTTAATTGGTAGATTAAGAAGTCAATTTTATTGTCATATAAATCTTTTAAGAAGATCATTTTATTCATTTTATTGCTATTGATCAATTATGCAAATCCTTAGATATCAATTTTATTGTTCTTGATAATCATATAGATCATAGATATCCATTTAGTTGTCTGCAGATCTAGTAATTTTATTAACACAGTAACTTTATTTCCTAGTAAAATAGTAACTTTATTTTTTCAATATATTTAGTTTAGTTTATTTTATTATTTATTCAACATGTATAAATATCTCTATATTTTCTTTGAGTCTCAGCATTGACGAGATGTTAATCTTTTAGGTATTGAATTTATATATTATATTAATAAAGGAGTATAATTAACTAAGTATAAAACTTATTCTTTATATACCTTTGAAACTGTTTTAAATCATTTATGATACTTTGCATTCGTGTGATCCCTTTAGTTATTTTTAGTAAACCTTTTATATGATATTATATTAATTTACTGTATTGACTTGAAGTCTCTTAAGTGTAATCTCTGAAATATCTTTGAGTTATCTTTATGTTTATTTTGAGTTTATCTTATATGTTTTTATATTAAGAATAATCTTTGACGTTATTATGAATCCTTATCCATGATTCTTCAAGTAATTGTCTTAGTTTTATTTATCCTTTTGAGATTTTATTTGAAGTTATAAAACTATTATAATAATATTATCTATCTATTTTATTTTGTATTTTAATAAAATAATTTTATTAATATTTAGATTTAAAAAGTTAATTTAGTTTCTGATACTTTTTTTAGTCTAATTTTTTTTTTTTTTATTAAATAAATCATTTTAGAGAAAAAATCACTTATAGAAAAAAAAAATATAAAAAAAGGAATTAGTAATTATTAATTCTAATAATGTAAAAAAAACTGTCACAGCAAAGGAAAGTTTGTTAATTTTTATTTCTTTCTTCTTTTTATTTACATTATATCAGATTACTAATCTTTGCTATTTTTTTTATCTCTTATCTTTTATTTTATATAGAATAGATGATTAATCTAATCTAGATATTAATTAGTTTAATTACTCTATCGTAGTAAAGGTGAATTTTATTTTTTTTTGAATAATTATATTATTTATTTTTATTCATATTATTAAAATTCCCTTTATATATCTTTTGTTTTTTAAAATCAATTTACAAATATATTTTATTTAGCTTAGTTTAGGAGAGCTCAATCAGTCCATCACGATGAAGATGAGTAATTATCTTTTTTTATTTTTTTTTGTATTGATTAGAATTACTAATTCTGTTTTTTATTTTTTCTATTCTTTAAGAGATTTTTTTAGATTCAGATCAGACGGTTTATCAAGATAGTTTAAGTAAGTGACAATTCAATTTCTTATTTTATTATTATTTTTCTTTTCTTAATTTTTTTGTCTTTTGTATAGTTTATTAATATTTTTTTTATTTTTTATATTATTTTATTAATATTATTTTTTCTAGTTTTCATGCGATCAGTTCAGTGTAATTCATCATAATAAAGGTAAGTGACCAGATTATTTTATTTTTTTTATCTACATTATTTTAATTCTTTTATTAATAATTTTTTTTAGCTTTTGATCAGTTCTATGTGATAGGTCCATTGTGATAAGGTAAATGATTAGATTTCTTTTTATTTTTTTTCCTTTCTATTTTTTAATTTATCTTAATTAATAAATATTTTTTTCTTTTTTCTCTTTCCTAACTTTGTATAATTAGTCTATTACAGTATAGATAGGTGATTTCTCTTTTTATTTTTTTTATTTTTTTGTATTGTTTATTTTTTTTTTATTTTTTATTATTAATTTTTTATTTTATTTTTAATTATTTATTCTTTTTTTTTCTCTAAGGTGATATTTTTTAGTTTAATATGATCAATCTGTTATAATATAAATAGATAATTTTTCTCTATTTTTTTATTTTGTTTGTTTTTTTTACCATTACTAATTTTTTTTTCTTTTTTTTATAATTTGTTTTATTTAGGTAAACTTTTAGTCTATTCTGGATATGTTCATTTAATGTGATCAGTTTGTCACAATGTAGATATATGATTTCTCTCTTTATTATTTTTTTTTATATTTTTTATATTGTTTGTTTTTTTTACCATTTCTAATTCTTTTTATTAAATTTTTTATTTTTTTTCCTATATTATTTTAATTCTTTTTATTAAAATTTTTTCTTTTTTTTTTTAGCTTTTGACCAGTTTTGTGCAATTAGTTCTGTTATAGTAAGGTAAGTGACAGATTTTTTTATTTTATTTTTTTTTTTTACATTGTTTTAATTGTTTTATTTTTTTTTATATTTTTTAGCCTTTGATCAGTTCTGTATAATCAGACTATCATGGCTAAGATAAGTAACAGATTATTTTATTTTCTTTTTTTCTTCTATTTTCTACTTTATTTTAGTTAATAAATTTTTTATTTTTTTCTTCTTCCTAACTTTTGTATGACTGGTTCAGTGTGATCGGTCCACTATGGCTAATGTAAGCAGTTTTATTTTGTATTGTATCAGATTACAGTGACATTTCCATAAGTGCATTCCCTTTGGACCATAATAAAAAAATAGCAGAATGTGCAATTAGAGAGGTATGCATTTATAGAGAATAAAATATTAAGAATTCTTATGAGTTAGAATAAAAGCCTACTATGCATTTAGAGAGAATTTACATAGAGTGTGTATTTATAGAGGGTGCACTTATGAAGGTTTTACTGTACTAATCTTTTTTTTTTTCTTTTTTTTATTTAGATAATTTTAGGATTTGTTTTTTTAGCATTGTTTTAAATTACTAATTAATTAATTAAATTAATGATCAATTGTATCTCATCTATCCTTAAAAATTAAGTTTTATATGTTTTTTTTTGATTTAATATAAAGGTGTTGATCAGCTATGCTGTATAGATACTTTTTTTTATAATATCTAATAATTTATATTATACAAACTGATTTTAATTTTTAAAAAAAGGCTAGACTAGAAACATAAAAATTTGTAAAAAAAATACAGATATTTTTTTTTGATATATAAAGAACTTCTGTTCCATTAAAATATTACAGTAAAACAGTATATAGAAACAGTATAACGAAATAATATAACGAAATTTCTGAAACAGTATAATGAAATATTGAAATAGTATAACGAATACAGTAACAGTAAACATTAATAATGTTTTCTTAAAAATAGCATCAAGATTTTTAAAAATCTTTCCTTTTTTATATATTACAAGGCAATGATTAGCGGCAATATGAACACAATTGTCCTTTTAAGTCAATTTACTTACCTTTTTTATATTGGTCAAATATTATTTATTTTTTATCAACCAAAAGTATATTTCGTTAAAGAAAAAATTTTTTTATTTTCATCTCTTATCGTTAAGGCTTAAGAATTTGTCAAACATATTTATATGTTACGCCAATATAAACTTTATTTTTTTTACCAAATCTGTTAGGATATTAACATCGTTCTTTTTATTACTGCGGAGACGATTATTTTTTAAATTAAATTTTTATCTACTGTAAACAAAAATGATTCACTTTTAATTCAATACTTTATTACATTACACGCCTATATGTAGACATGACAAAGGTAATAGCAAATGAATTGATAAGTTTCCTTTATTGAACTCTTGGTTTATCCTAAAACCCTATCTCGAGTTACTTTCAACTCGAGGGAAAATACAAGATATTTATATAAAATAAATTACTAGTAATAAAATATAACAAATATAATATAAACGATAAATAGACAAATATAAAATATATAATGACCCTACTAAATAAAAAATAACCAACAAATATAACAAATATCAATAATCTATCTAATATATCTAATAGATCAACTGTCAGATCAACTTCGTCACTTTTTTTTTTTTTTATTATTATTAGCTACGGCAATAGTGGAAATGTGTATTTTTTTTTCGAAAAATTTTTTATAAATCAACTTTTTATTTTGTGCGATTGGTGTGTTACTCCTAATTTCGGGTTAAGACCAAGGCGATATTTTTATAATGGAGTCGAATGATCAATTAACAAATTATAAACTAGGGTGACCTTCTATAATAATATTCTCTTTTTATGTTAGATTATTGGATTTGGACAAATAAATCAAAAAGGCGGGAATATATTCGATTGCTATGGTACAAGACGGAATCAAAAAGTAAATTAAATTAAAAATAAAAACAAAGATGAAAGCGAAGATCTAAGGATAAAAAAGTAAAAAAATAAACACAATGAAAAAAAAAGAAAAAGAAAGGAAAAGTAAGATCATTCAATCATTACGGCTCAAGGAAAAATTTGAAAAATTTAATTCTTGCGATTTAACCAAAGGATATCTGGTGAATCGATTCATCAGGGCGCAGCGTTATTTTCAAATTGAATCGACCAATTTACCACCGAAAAAAATTCTGTCCCTTAAATATTTAAACATTACCGGCGACAAACCATCTAACACCTAACTAATCTCAATTTTACCAGAGCGTGGGGGTAAACCCTTCCAGTTAAGCAACATAGCACAAGCTTTCGCATTCTTTAAAAAACCGAAACTTAAAAAAGTTCAATATAAATACTCACACACGCACACAAAAGACGAAAAGTAAAATAATTTATTTGTATATAATTAAAATAACTTCGCAAGTTTGTTTCCTCAAATTATTACAAATAATAATGACTTGTTAGCATGAAAGAATTTCAAGCCGTGAAATACGGGCTCAAAAGTTAAATTACAAAATCAAGTGAAAAAAACCGTTTCCAGATATAAAGATAAATTTATTATTTCAAAAAATACTCTATAGCAGAACTTTGTCAAACAACACATGGATAAGCTTAGAATTAATTGAATGAATATAAAGGAAATAAAAGTAAAATATACATTCAAAATTTTTTGAAGCTCTCACATTCCTCGTTTCGATTGACATGTTCTTTAAAAAAAAAAAATAAATTGTTTTTAAACTAATAGCTTATATAATAAGTATTTTCAAATATTTATTTAAATATCTTTAATGTTCAATCGGTTTGATGGTAAACTATTTTAAATTGTAAACCACTATACTAAAACTACTATCCTGGAACTAAATTGGAATAGAAGGACTTAATAAAAATTTAGGTGAAATATACGTAAGTGAATTGGGTAAATTTGGTAAACTAGTTATTTTAGTATTATAGCAACGGAGTTCTTTTAAGGAATTAGGTAAAATTGGTAGACTAGTTAACTGAGTCGTATAGCAATAGAGTTCCATTAAAGAATTAGGCAAAGTTGGCAAGCTAGTTAATGGAGTATTGCTACAGTTGAGCGTTGTTAAGAAATTAGGCAAAGTTGGTAAGCTCGTTATCTGAATATTGTCGCAATTTAAATATGTTAAGGAGTTAGGTAAAGTCGGTAAACTAGCTATTTGAGTATTAGAGCAATAGAGTTTTGTTAAGACATTAGGTAAAGTTGGTAATCTGGTTATTGGAGTATTGTTACAGTTAAGCGTTGTTAAGGTGTTAGGTAAAGGTGGTAAGCTTGTTATTTTAGTACGTGAGCAATTGAGTTCTTTTAAAGAGTTAGGCATAGTTGGTAAGCTAGTTATTAGGGTACTATAGCAACGGAGTTCTTTTAAGGAATTCGGCAAAGTTGGTAGGCTAGTGATTGGATTACGTGGGCAATTAAGAGTTATTAAAGAGTCGGGCAAAGTTGGTAAACTTGTTATTTGAACATTTTCGCAACGAATGGTTGTCAATTTTCGATATCTTTGCAATCCTTCCGAAGTCTTTAATATGTCTTCTTTATTATGCTTGGTAATTGTAAAACTTTCAGTAGTATCAAATTCTTGAGCCATTGTCCTTTCTTCTTGCTCTCTTTTCCTTTCTTTTACATCATTAGTCTCTATGATCTTTTTCTCTTGCTCCATAATTTTTTCTTTTAACTCATTAATAGTTTTTTGCTTGGCCTGGATTTCTTCATCTCGTTCTCCGATAATTTCTCTTAAATCGCTAATGATATTTTGATTAGTTTTGGCTGTTTTTTCTTGCGCATTAACCTTTTCTTTTAAATAATTTATAGTGGCCTGCTTGGCTTTAGCTTCTTCTTCTCGCTCTTTAATCTTTTGCTCCAAAACATTGATGGTTACTTGCTTAGCTTTGGTTAAATCTCCCCGTTTTCTAACCTCTTCTGTTAAGATGGTAATAGTTTTTTGCTTAGCGTTAATTTCTTCATCTCGTTCTCCGATCTTTTCTTTTAAATCGTTAATAATTTCTTGATTGGTTTTGGTTTCTATTTCTCGCTCTTTAATCTTTTCTCCTAAAGCATAAATTATTTTTGCTTTGGATTCAATAATTTCTTCTTGTTCTTTAATTTTTTCTTCAAAATTACTAGTTGGTCCTTGCTTGGCTTTGGCTTCTTCTTCTCGCTCTTTAATCTTTTCTTCTAAGGTATAAATAGTTTTTGCTTTTGCGGTTACTTGTTCTTGCTCCCTAATCTTTTCTTTCAAATTGTTAATGGTATTTTTCTTAGCGTTAATTTCTTCGTCTCGTTCTCTAATCTTTTCTTTTAAACCGTTAATAGTTACTTGCATGGCTTTGGCTTCTTCTTCGCGCTCTTTAATCTTTTCTTCTAAGGCAATAATAGTTTTTGCATTTACTTCGGTTACTTGTTCTTGCTCCCTAATATTTTCTTCTAAATTACTAACTGTTTCTTGCTTGTCTTCGGTTAATTCGTCACGTTCTCTAATCAAGTTGTTAATTATTGTTTGCTTGGCGTTAATTTCTTCATCTCGTTCTCCGACCATTTCTTTTAAACCGCTAATAGTAACTTGCATGGCTTTGGCTTCTCCTTCGCGCTCTTTAATATTTTCTTCTAAATTACTAATTTTTTCTTGCTTGGCTTCGGTTAATTCATCTCGTTCTCTAATCAAGTTGTTAATTGTTATTTGCTTGGCGTTAATTTCTTCATCTCGTTCTCCGATCTTTTCTTTTAAATCGCTAATAGTTACTTGCTTGCCTTTGGTTTCTTCTTCTCGTTCTTTAATCTTTTCTTCTAAAGCATAAATAGTTTTTGCTTTTTCTTCGGTTTCTTGTTCTTGTTCCCTAATCTTTTCTTCTAAATTACTAACTGTTTCTTGTTTGGCTTCGGTTAATTCGTCTCGTTCTCTAATCAAGTTGTTAATTGTTATTTGCTTGGCGTTAATTTCTTCATCTCGTTCTCCGATCTTTTCTTT